ACCCTCCCACCCCCTTTAGCTTTTTTTCCTTTTAAAACCGGAGATCCATTTTTTTCTATTCCCAACATCCACAATCATTCTTTCCTTTTTTTCATTTAAAAAAAAAAAAATCCACGACATTCAGACTTCCCACTTTGACAATTTTTTCTTTTTTTCCTTTTTTTTAATTTTTTACAGGAAAAAAAGGGGTTTTTTACCCATTGTTCCCCGGGATTTTTGTTACTTTTACAACACGCATTTGGGTTAAAGGAGGAAAAAAAAATTCTTATTCCAAATTCCCCCCGGATATAAAAGGAAAAGTAATTAAAAAAAGAACTATTAAAATAAAATCAAAAGAAAAACTAGATGAGTGGGGTTTAAAAAACTTTTACATGTATTTGGGTGTGAACCCAAGGGGTAAGTAAAGTAGCAAAAACGTACCCCGTAAAAATTTCAAAATTTAGAGACAGACAAAAAAACACCGCAACCTTTTTTCCCCCATTTTATTTTAAAACAAATTAAAAGGGTTTCCCTTTTACACTCACTTGGGAGGACGGTATCCCCCCCTGGGTGGATTTCGTTTTACCAACCCCTACCACTTTCTCAAAAAGAAATTTCACCCTTTATTGCTGTAGAGTTGGGTTTAAAAGCTTTCTTGGGGGCCCCTGGCCCCTTATTTTGCAGATTAAAAAACACCCCCAAAAACACTGTAATAATACGAAAAGTTCCGATTGTAAAGCTTTTGGTGGGTTAAACCCCGGAGGCTGGTTTGGAAACAAGCCCCGGGGGCCCCATTTTTGAGGCTGGCTAAGGGGCACATTTGGGCGCGTCCCCGGCGAAAAAAGCGGTTACGGGTTTTTTTGGGCTATGCGAGGGGAAAAATTTTTTGGGAAAAAAGCGAGCGGGGAAAAAGGTGAACGTTTTTGTGATGCTACGATATGCGGGGGTTTCCCCTGTAACTTTTGTGCGGGGTTTTTGTGTTCAATACAGTGAAAATTTAAAATATATACTTTTTAAAAAAGTATTGGTCCCCCTCAGGCCCCCAAAAGTTAGTAGGAATAGAAAAAAAAAGGAAAAGGGAAAAAAAAAAACAATAAAAAAAAGCAAAATTTTGTAAAGGGGCATATTTTGGAATTCCCCGATTTTTGCCGCCCTCACATCATTTTTGACAAACCCTTTTTAGGCACTGTTTTCTTGGTAAGTACTGAACAGAATTTTTTTTTTTTCTTATTAAACCCTTTAAAAAATATCTTTTTTAATTCCCGGGAAGAAAAAAATTGGGTTTTTTTTTTTTTTTTTTTTTTTTCCCAAAATTTTTTTGGGGCACGGAAACACCACTTCAAAATTTTTGGGCCTTTGGCCCTGAAGGGTTTAAAAATTTTAAAATTTAAAATTTAAAGTTTTTGAGAGGTTGGGGTGGCAGGGGGGTTTTTTTTTGAATTTTTAAACAGAAAGGCACACCCTCATTTTCCCCAACTTGGCACTTTTTAAACAAAGGCTTTTCCACTTTCCCCTTTTTTCACGGGTTTAAACCCTTTGGAAACCCAAAACCCTTAAAAGGAACCAAATTTTTAACCCAAAGAGTAAAAGAGAAAAAGAAAAGAATACAGGTTTGGGCCCAAAGTAAGAACACAAACGAACAGGAAATGGGGCGATTTACTTTTGGGCAGGCGAAAAAAAAAATGCGTATTTAATTTTGGGCTACTTTTTTGTTCATTCAGTTTCCCTTTTTAAGAGTTTGTAAAACATTTGCCCCCAAAAATTTTTTTTATTTTTAATAATAATTACCTCACAATTTCAAATTTCTCTTACATTGTGTTTCAATTTTGTTCAGAATAAACAAACAGCAACACACCTTTTTTTGAGTGAATGAAAAAAATTTAAAAATATTTTTAAAATTAATAAAAAAATAATATTTTTAAAAATTTTTAAAAAGCACTAAACCCAAAAAGGGTCGGAATTTTCTAACACAGAGAAAGGCCCTACGAAAAAAAATATTTTTCAAAAGTTACCCCCCAGTGTTTTATAAGGGAAAAAAAGTAATTCTTAAACCCCACCACCTTAAAACCCCCGCCCTTTTTAAAAAATCTAATTTACATCAATTTTTATTTTGAGTGTATTTCATCAAATTTTTTATGCTATGTAAGGGGTTTTTATAATAAATTTTTAGGAAAATATTTTAGTTTAAACCTTTTCTCCGTATATATTACTAAAATAAAAGGAAAACTTTCGTTTTTTTTTTTGGGCCACCCCGCCCTGGGATACGGCCGGGGTTTTTTTTGAAAAAAAAAATTTAAAAAATTTAAAAAAGCCTATTTTTAAAGAAAAATAAGACATTTTGTGTGCCCAAGAGTGATTTTTATTACGTAGTATTGGCGTTTTTTGAAATTGAGAGAGAATTTAGCGATTTTAAAATTTTTACCTGCACACCCGCACAGTTTTTGTAAGTATATATTTAAGTACAGGTACACATAAGTATAATTATCAGAGTACATATAAAATATTCAGTAACTTAAAACACTTAAAATTTTGGAAGTTTCCTGACATAATAGATGGGTCACGGAAAATGTAAACAAACCGCGTGGGGAGCGCCGTATTTAAAAGACCGCTTGCCGTATAGCAAATTTTGGTCATAATTTGATATCGCCGTATTAGCAGAACGCCGTAAGGCGAAACGCAGTTAAAGCGGGGCCTTACTGTATGTTAAGGTTCTGAAGTGCTGAAGAACTGTTTACATAATGAGAGAACCTCTGTTGTAGATTCAAGATCATTTAAGTAAGGATTTTTTTTTCTAGTTTTCAAGAGTTTCTTCTCTTTAAACTTGAAAAATAATGGGCAGTATACATTTCTTAGTGTAACTTAACTTAGAAAATGTGTTCTAAATGCAGGTATAATGCATCCTGTTTTAAAAATTACCTACTGCATACTTGGTACACCCTAAGAAGTAAGCCCAAATTGACACCTTTTTGCTTTGGGAGAATTAAAAGCAAAAGTGTAGCAAAAAACTATGCATATACGATGGTCTCCTGTATACATACTTGTAGCTTAAAAATGGGTGTATTTCTAAGACTTTTTTTGCAGCACTATATACTGTACTGGAAAACAACACATTCAGATAGTTGTTGTCATGTGTTACCCCACCCCCCGCAAATCCAAAGTTTGGTTACACTAGGGAATTTTATAGCCTACATATTTCTTGACCAGAGGTAACTACAAAAAAATCTGGCACTAACTTTAGTGCCATTATGCTTCTGAACTTGAGCACTCAATGTTTGTAAAATTCACTACTCTATGAACGTAAGAACATAGTAATTTTCCCCACACTATCTCAGGTGAAGTTTCCGTAATACTGGCACAGAACCAATGAATATTAATTCTTCGGCGGAAAAAGAAAAATACACAAAATTAAATTTAGTTATCCTATCATCCTAGACTCGAGAAAAATAACAATGGTCACCACACTAATGTATAAATTATACAAGAAAAACTCTGTAAGAGGCATTCCAATTATATTAACACACACATCATGACCAGATATTACACCTTTCATTAATTTAACTTTCCGACTTAAATGGGCTCATTTAATTAAGACCGATCAAGAAACAGTTTCGAACGACCAACCATAAATGACGTCATTTTATCCAAGACAAGGATATACAAAACTCCACTGCCAATTTGACAATAATACAAGCTTAGTTTTGTGTGCAACACTGCACTATTTTGTGGGATGATCTGGCCTCTTAACTCTCTTGGTTTTCTATTAACTCAATTCATGACTCATGAAATCGCAATAACTCAATAAAATACAAATTAGTTTTGAAAGTAAAAAAACAAAGAATGCCAAAAGACAAAATAGGTGTATTTACCAAAAAAACCAACTTTCACATTTTTTTGCCATTTTTTTTTCCAATTTTGTCCCCCAAAAATTTCTATTAACCATTTGCACAATTTTATTGGTATTAAAATCAATTTTTATCCCCATTCAAGTTTAAATTTATTTTTCACAATTTATAGAAATTTTTACATAAAGGATACTAAAAAATATATATTACTACAAATTCCCCCAAAGGCTAAATCTCAACCCTGGGGAAAAAATCATTAAGTTTCCCTCTAAGAATGCAGTTCTAAAATTTTTTGGCACATGGGCACCCCCCACAATTTCTAATTAAACCCAAAAAGTAACCCCAAGGAGTAAAAATAATTTTAGTTAGGTCCTTAAAAATGCATTACAGGGCATTTGTAGCTCAAAAAAATAAATCTTAAGCAAAATACAAACACGGATGAAAAAGGATCTTTCAACGAACACATACTAATACCAAAATGAATGTCTCCTCACTAATGCAGTAACTGTCATTAATCCGGCTCATGGGGGGGGTACAAAAAAACATAACACAAAAAAAGAATTATGAACGGGAAAAAGCTTAAAACCCGGAAATTTTCTAACCATCAATCACACATGGGTAAATTTATCACACATCGGAATTATCAACGGAAATAACAAGTCTCAAGATAGAATATCTGCATAAAGCAAAACTGCATAAAGTGAGGGAAACTTGTACTAGACTAAATATACGAAGGTCAACATGCAAGTGAAGCACAATAAAAAAAAAAATTAAAAGAGACAAAGACAGCAAACACCTAATATATAATGAGGATATAAAAAAAAACAAATACGTGGACCCCCGGTTAACGATATTTTTTCACTCCAGAAGTATGTTCAGGTGCCAGTACTGACCGAATTTGTTCCCATAAGGAATATTGTGAAGTAGATTAGTCCATTTCAGACCCCCGAACATACACGTACAAACGCACTTACATAAATACACTTACATAATTGGTCGCATTCGGAGGTGATCGTTATGCGGGGGTCCACTGAAGTATACTTACTAATGAGAAAACAAATGAAAAAAAAAATGTGGAAATTCAGGCAAATCAGTCCAGGAATAATAATTTGAGATTGTGTAATGTTTATTAAAAGCCTCTACTACTAAAACATTATACAAAGTCAAGCTATTACTTACTCTTAATTTATCATCTTCAAAACTCTGTAAAGGAATACTCTGCATTTCAGCGGGGTATGCCGATCGCATGTGTGGAGGATAGAGAGAATTTCGTCTTTGTAGCTCAGATAATCTCTTCCACTGAGCTTCATCCAATGGGTTGCAGCGTCCAATCTATTCATAATAATACAAAATAAGAGTGAATAAATCATGGCCATCATGGCTATGTTGTGAGAGGAGACATACTTAGAAATGACCAGAAGAATCAAGAATCATTCACCATACACCTCAAATTATTTTTAAGAATAAGAATGACATGCTGAAAACTTTTATTAAGCATTATTTTCTGATGTAGTTTCAGTGCTGAAACTTAAAATATACAACATTTTAGACCATACTTATTTATGATCAATTTGCCTTTGAATGAAAGTCAAATAAGAGCAGTGAGAGATACTGGTAAAGTCAACTGAAGTCTCATGTATTTAGATCAGAACACCTAGAAGAGGAAATATCTGGATAATAAAAAACTGAGGCTAATGTGTTATTTTTCTTTGTAAACACACTGGCTGTCTCTTACCGAGGTAGGGGGTTGACCTAAAAAAAAGAAGAAAACACTTTCACCATCACTCACTATCACTGTCTAGAAAGAAGCAAGACTGATATTACAGCTCAGATGATCCTCCAAACCTCTTCATTCTGCAGGCACTGTACTTCCCACTACCAGGATTCAAGTCCAGCTAACAGATTTCTATGAATCCCTTCACGTTACCTTGCTTACACTCCAACAGTATGTCATCACTTGCCTAACGTTCCTAACATGCTCACTCTCGCTTGCTGGAAGTCTAAGCCCCTTGCACACAAAACTTCCTTTACCCCCTTCCTCCAACCTTTCCCAGGACGACTACCTACCCTGCCTTCCTTCCCCTACACATTTATACGCTCTCCATGTCATTCTACTTTGATCCATTCCCTCTAAATGACCAAACCACCTCAACAACCCCTCTTCAGCCCTCTGACTAATTCTTTTAGTAACTCCACACCTTCTTATTTCCACACTTCAAATTCTCTGCATAATATTTACACCACACATTGCCCTTAGACAGGACATCTCCACTGACACCAACCGCCTCCTCGCTGCACCATTCACAACGAAAGCTTCACACCCATATAAGAGTATTGGTACCACTATACTTTCATGCATTCCCTTCTTTACCTCCAATGATAATGTTTTGTCTCCACATATACCTCAACGCACCACTCACCTTTTTTCTTCATCAATTCCATGGTAAACCTCATCCTTCATAAACCCATCCTCTGATACATCACTCCCAAAATATCTGAAAACATTCACTTCTTCCATACTCCTCTCCAATGTGATATTCAATTTTTCTTTACCTAAATCAAATGGTACCCTCTTCACCTTACCCTTATCTATGTTCACTTTCAACTTCCTACCTTGACACACCCTCCTATACTCATCCACTAACCTTTGCAACTTTTCTTGAGAATCTCCCATAAGCACAGTATCATCAGCCAAATGGAACTGTGCCAACTCCCATTTTGTATTTGATTCCCCATAATTTAATCCCACCCCTCTCCCCAACATCCTAGCATTTACTTCTTTTACGACCCCATCTATAAATACATTAAACAACCATGGTGACATTACACATCCTTGTCTAAGACCTAATTTTACTGGGAAGTATTCTCCCTCTCTTCTACACACCCTAACCTGAGCCTCACTACCCTCATAAAAACTCTTTACAGCATTTAGTAACTTACTACCTATTCCATATACTTGCAACATCTGCCACATTGTTCTCTTATCCACTCTATCATATGCCTTTTCTAAATCCATAAATGCAATGAAAACCTCCCTACCTTTAACTAAATAATGTTCACATATATGCTTCAATGTAAACACTTGATCTACACATCCCTTACCCACTCTAAAGCCTCCTTGCTCATCCGCAATCCTACTCTCTGTCTTACCTCTAATTCTTTCAGTAATAACACTAGTGAACACTTTTCCTGGTATACTCAGTAAACTTATTCCCCTATAATTTTTACAATCTCTTTTGTCCCCCTTTCCCCTTTATATAAAGGAACTATACATGCTCTCTGCCAATCCCTAGGTACCTTCCCCTCTTCCATACAGTTATTAAACAAAAATACAAACCACTACAACACTATATCCCCCCATGCTTTTAACATTTTTGTCATGATCCCACCAGTTCCTACTGCTTTGCCCACTTTCATTCTATGTAATGCCTCACACACCTCCCCAACACTTACACCCTGCTCTTCTTCACTCCTAGATGTTATACCTCCCTGGCCAATGTATGAAATGACTGCCCCCCCCTTTCTTCATCAACATTTAGAAAGTTCCTCAAAATATTTCTGCCATCTACCCAATACCTCCAGCTCCCCATCTACTACTCCCTACTCTGTTTTTAACTGAGAAATCCATTCATTCCCTTGGCTTTCTTAATCTCTTTACCCTATCTAAATACTGTTAATTTATATTCTTCACTGTAAACACTTGGTCTACATACCCCCTACACTTCCTAAAGCCTCCTTGTTCATCTGCAATCCTGTTCTCCATCTTACTCTTAATTCTTTCAATAATAACTCTGCCATACACCTTACCAGGTATACTTAGCAGTTATTCCGCTATAATTTTTACTCTCTTTTTTGTCCCCTTAGCCTTTATACAAAGGAACTATGCTTACTCTCTGCCGATCCCTAGGTACCTTCCCCTCATTCAAACATTTATTAAATAAAAGCACAAACCATTCCAAAACTATATTCCCATGTGCTTTTAGCATTTCTGTCTTAATTCCACCAATCCCAGCTGCTTTACTTACTTTCATTCTACCTACAACCTCATGTACTTCAACCACACTCATATCTGGCTCTTCCTCACTCCTAAAAGATATTCTTCCTCCTTGGCCAATACATGAAATCACAGCTTCCCTATCTTAATCAACATTTAACAGTTTCTCAAAATATTCCCTCTATCTTCCCAATACCTCCAACTCTCCGTCTATTAACTCTCCTTGCCTATTTTTAACTGTCAAGTCCATTTGTTCCCTAGGCTTTCTTAACTTATTAATCTCACTCCAAAACCTTTTCTTGTTCTCAGAAAAATTTGTTGACAGCATCTCGCTAATTCTTTCATTTGCTCTTCATTTACATTCCGTCACCACTCTCTTAACCTGTTTTTCTCTCCATATACTCCTCCCTCCTTATACAACTTCTACTTTGTATTATTTATCATTATTTAGTGGTATTTGCAGTTTCTTGATTTGCTGGAACCATTAGGAATATAAATCTTGTGAATTTGAAAGACCGAATGGATGCATGGTAGTAAGAAACCCTTGTGAAGTTGATCAATTCATTCCACCTCTTTACATTCCTATACTAAAGCCATAGTTTCCGATATACTAGTGACCAGTTATTTTTATAAAGCCGGACTTGAGTACTGGAAATGGGAAGTACAATGCCTGCACTTTAAAGGAGGGGTATGGGATATTGGCAGTTTGGAGGGATATGTTGTATATCTTTATACGTACATGCTTCTAAACTGTTGTGTTCTGGGCACCTCTGCAAAAACAGTGATTATGTGTGAGTGTGGTGAAAGTGCTGAATGATGATGAAAGTATTTTCTTTTTGGGGATTTTCTTTCATTTTTGAGTCACCCTGCCTCGGTGGGAGACAGCTAACTTGCGAGAAAAAAAAATACTAGCGACTTTTCTAGCTGTGTTATTTCTAATCATGCCCTCTTGTTCTTGTTTCATTCCTGATAACATGCCCATCTTCTTCTATATCAGAGTATTTTTCTGGAATACAAACAATGCATGTTCACACCTGACACATCACACCTCTCCACTCCCAGGTAGGAACTTTTCTACAGGATTCTCCTGATCAGTCTCAGTGCTGACTCGCAGGTGAAACACCCACTTGCCAATAAGTCAACATGCCCAATTCTGGAGACTAAGACACTGGTTGCATAGAAATCTTTGTCATATAAGATCCCACCACTACTGGTTTCATTCACATCCAGAAGTCAGGGCTGACTGACACAAAATGCAAGTACATCATGTCCAGGTTCTCTATTCTATAAAAATCCAACATAGATGTGACTGTCGCACCAAGACCATTAGGGATTGTAGGCGTAACACCTGAACAATGCCTGGGTCCAGCACCATGACACCCATTCCTGTGAAAGGCATGGGACAGCAACACTGCCATTTTATGAAAATTACAAGATAAATCACAGATGCCTTGATCCCTTTCTAATAAGTCTTAAACCCAAACAAAAAAATGGTTTTTTTCTTTGTCCCCATTTTATCCACATGAGAATAAAGCACAAAGTGAAATCATACTGGCAACAAGACCCCACTGATTTCAACACCAGGTTTCAGTGATATAATGCCAGTGAATCAATTTGTGCTAATGAGTTACGTATTCTTCACTCTCAATAAAAAAAGGCCTGACCAGAACTGAAGGTTATATAAGAATTAGGAATGTGTTTGTGTAATCTGAAACAGAAATTCAGTAACCATGTTTATCCCTTTCAGGAAGCTGTAATTGACGAGTCTTTGATTCTGTTCCAAAAGACTCTCTTCAAGCAGTACATACCAAGCAGATTGAAACGCTTTGGTTAAAGTTGTTTGTGCTTTGTGATAGTTACAGTGGCTGGTATTGGATATTATTGTGTACACTGGAAAGTTATACATTGCAAAATACCAGGAAAGTTTATTGGGCATCTCAGGTGATAGTGTTTCGAACAATGATAGAACCATAAACTTGGTAAGGGGCAATATAATCTACGATAACTGGACACAACCCCCTCACTCAGTGATTTTTGCGAGGAACATGACAGATGTGTGTGGCACAGTGTGCAAATTCGAAAACTACATGCCCAGGTTTGAACGCTGGCACTCGTAGAGGTGAGGTGCAGGCGTTTGCTGCCAATGACATCATGGCATTCATAGTGGCAAGACAAAATGAGATGTCACACTGTTGTCATCATTTCACCTAATGAAATGGCAAACAGTGGCAGGCAGCAAAGAGAAGAAATGAACCCATTCTAAAACCTGCAGCTGTGATTGATTACAACCTTCAACATGCTTCAGTGACAAAATGTGAAACATGCAGATTGGTTAGCT